TTCAACTGAAGTTTCAGCCAGCTGAATATGGAAAGGCTGCCGTCTCCAGCTATCTGGTAGAGTACAAAGTTGCCGATGAAGAAAAATGGAAGTTGGTGAGGACAGAGGACACGAGGGAGATGTTCCTGCTGAAAGATCTGCCTCCAAACACTGAGTACCAGTTCCAGTACGCTGCTTGTTCCAAGCTGGGCCTTAGTAAATCCAGTGACTTGACCCCACCCATCAAGACCCTTCCCACCAGCCCCCCTGAGAAATTAAGAATGGTCACGGCGGCACCTTCTGTCATCTCTGTGGCCTGGATGAGCCCCAGCATCGTTGCCTCCGGAGTTGTGGTCAAGGAGTACAAGGTGGAGTATAGAACGGTGGAGGCTGGAGCTGGGAAGGACCAATGGACTGAAAAAAAGACGGGGAGAAAAACAGGATTTTATCCCGTTGAAGGTCTGAAGCCCCAGACGGCCTACAGAATAAGAGTGTTGGCCGTGTGTGAGAATGGTGCTCTGGGTGTCCCCAGTGAGGAACTGGAGGTCTCCACATCACTGGAGGAAGAAGATGGAGGAAAGATAGCCCACCGGTTCCTTCAGAAAGGCTACCTGGTGGAGGACAGGCAGCCATTAGTCTTCACCCTTCCTCTGGAGAAGGTCCCCTCAGATGCCTCCAATTCCTGTCTCACATACCAGCTTGGAAAGGAGAACCCAGAAGTGCCCAACAAAGTCATCCTGGTGATGGGGGCCACAGGATGTGGGAAAACCACTCTGATCAACGGGATGATCCATTATATCCTGGGGGTCCAGTGGGAAGATGATATTAGATTCAAACTCATTCATGAAACCGCTCCACTTCTGGGAAGCAGGACATCGGAAGTCACAACCTACATGGTGAACTATGAAAGAGGTTTGCAATGTCCTTATTCTCTCACCATCATTGACATGCCAGGGTTTGAAGGCACGAGAGACTCAGAGCAAGACAAACAGGTGCAGGAGCAGCTCCTGGAGTTTTTCTCCACCCTGGGGAGCCTTGACCACGTGGATGCCATCTGCGTGGTGGCCCAGGCCTTCCTTCCCCATTCAGCTGACATCCAGAAACGCATCTTGGATTCCATGCTCTCCGTGTTGGGAAAAGACCTGAAGGATAACGTCCGACTCCTGATCACCTTTGCGGATGCGGGGACCCCACCTGTCCTGGAGGCCCTCGCGGAGGTTAAATGGCCACTTGCTCAGGATGAGTCAGGGACCCCTCTTCACTTCAGATTCAACCATTCAGCTCTCTGTCTTCCACGAGAAGACGGAGGAAGGCGTCATGCTGCAGCCGAAATGTCCTGGAAAATGAGCGCCGAGAGCATGAAGGATTTCTTCGATTCATTCAAGAGGCTAGAAACCAAAAGTTTAACCTTGACCCTGGAGGTCCTCAAGGAACATCAGAAACAAGAAGTTGCTCTTAGACAACCAGCCCCTCCTAAGGTTGAGCCAGTCCAGCCAAATCATTTCCAGATTACTATTAATCCGGGGACTGATGGGACAGCTTCGGTCTCCGGGTACGAGGTGGAATATCAGATTGCAGAAGGGAACTGGAAAGGTCTCCGTATAGAAAGTCCTCAGTATCGATTCACCCTTCCAGAGGACCATCTCAATCTTCGGTACCAATTCCGATATGCTGCTGTGACTCCACAAGGGCTCAGTCCATGGAGTGAGGAGACCACCTGCATCTGTCCTAGGTTGAAGCCTGTAGAGGTAATTGGAGATGAGGAGGGGAGGAGGAGGAAGAGGAGGGGGAGAAGGAGATGGGTGAGGAAGGGGAGGGGGAGGTATGGTTTTATATACCATACTTAGATCAGACCGAAGACGGAGTAATTCAAAGTTTTCTAGGTCTAGTATTTCAAGTCTGGTGGCCTAAGGTCTTCTACGACGAGTAGAGGAGTGGAGAACTCTTCTTGTGAAATATTTCTGGACTTTCTCAACTGTGCT